ATCACTTTGGCGCCAAAGGTGTTTCAGTCTCGCCTAAGCTGCTCTTGCCTTGAAAATGTGGGCGGTTACCTCCTTGATTACGCTGCCGTAATTTGTCACCTAAGTAGAAGAAACAATTCACCATAGCTAATTCTTGAACATCAAGCATCACAGCTGGGGTAGATGACACCCAATCTTGTAGCATCACTTTGAACTTTGGAGGTTCAACGCAAACACCAAGCGGAGCTACAGACCCTAAAAGTCTGTCAAGAGCACTTTACGCGTCCTCCATACATTCGAACAGACAAACGATGTCAGCATACTCTAAATCGTATAGCTGTTCTCCAGGTGCCCATTCGATACCAACATTTAGGAGACCGCTGAGTGCGTTCTCCAGGTCTTCATTTACGGCGAAATAAAATGGCCTTTGAACACGATCTCGCGGAGGCCAGGCTTCGCAGCCATAGAGCGCGTACTGTTACGCAGTACACACGCCGTTCAGCTGAAGAGGATATGTGGTGCCGGTGCCATAGATGCTGCAAATTAGCAAATGCTAATCTAACTTTGATTACGTGTTGAGAGATCTCACCCGCACCACCAGCTGTTATGCAACTCTCGGGGTAGACAAAGCTTTCGACTAATTCTAGAGTGTGTTTACCCAATGAAAGTGCAGCAATGGGTTCCTGCCAAACTTGCCACATCACCTTGCACCTTAAAGGTGCGAAGGACATGCCATAACAAGTAACCTCAATCGCACCCATCCGCCAATTGGTTTAAATCTCTAGTTATCAAAAACAACATCTATGAGAATGACAGTGTATTTGAAGAATATGTGTAGATGAGTCAACACCGAGCGATTGATATTTTCCAATATGGCAACATCAATGATAATCTGAGTTATCACTGTAACAGTCAGTTTCACAACGATACACGATTTGAGGGTAAAAGAAGATAGGATCGAACTAGTTAGTGAGTGAAAAAGTAATACACACATGGCGAATCCACTGGACACGAGATAAGTCACAGTCCATTCTGTGTCCTTTTTGTGTAACAGCGCAGTTCCTCTATTGACATCGGACAGAAAGTTGCTGTATTAACACACCTCAAGTAGTAGTTCCATTCGGCTATAACACACGAGAAAAGAATATGGACAATTGTAAGCATGTGGTATTCTACTTGTGTTCTTAGTTGCATCGAAAAATTCATTTTTACTGCTTATTCAGGTTGTTTGAGAAAGTCAGAATTCATCCGTTCTATTGCCGCATGGTTTATTGTAGATGTGTTATATGCACATAACTGTTTATATTGGTTGGTTTTTTGTGCGAAATTATTAAAGGTGAAAATGATATGCCGTACGTTAACGTTCGGTATTGTCAATGTTTTTTTATTACACATCTCAGTCTGATGAACAACAGACGGGGAATGTCCCATAGTCACGAGGATCTGCTGTTCAGTGAGGGAAACCGGTAACCTAAGCCTTGGGACCTGAAGTGGCAAACCGCAAAGGCCCCGCTAGGTTAGT